CATAGTAAGGGTAACATGTCAAAGAGAAAGGAGTGGTACAAGGAAAGAATGCTGGCAATAAGAGGAGGCAAAAAGGGAAAACTAGTTGTTTATAAACACAGGGAAAGTAGATGATGTTGCCCTAGAGTCTTTGACTTTATGATTTCTTATTACATAAGGGATTAAAAAGACAAGTCCCATTTCCTAGCAGCCTGAACATGGATTTTACTCTGCCTAGGGAAAAGTAGTACACATTAACTCTGTACAAAGGTGATCACATGCTGCTTCTCAATAGCCTGTGTTCTCGAATTTTAATGCTAGAGTTCTGAAAATTCTTTCATCAGAGAAAGAGCATTTTGTAAATTAAATTAGAAAAGTGGATATAGCTTTACATGAATAAAATCCTATTCAAATTACCAAAGATGTATCCCTTCGTAAAAATGTGAGTGAGATAAGCCAAGAGCAAAGAGGCAAATGGCACATGGTATCCCTTATAAGTGGATGTTAAATCCAAAACTTAAGGTGATACAACAAAGTAAACAAGACTTGAGAAACAAAGGACCTCTAGTCATCTGGTCGAATCATTACTAAATGACCCCATGCTGCTCACCACATATATGGTATATATGTGCACATCTGAAGGAAACTAGGAGGAGGACACAGAAACAGAGGGAAACATACAATAGCGGGACCCATCAGCTACACATGGACATTGATTAAAATGAACTAAGCAATTCAATTGCAGTGATGGGAAGGAGGGAATGAGTTGGAAAGAAGAACAGCTGATACTAAGCAAAAGGAAAGAAATGTACATATCACTCCACATGGAAGAAATAATTGTATTGCCAAAGCTCATAGAACTCATAAACTTTATAGACCATGACAGAGACAATTTGCCCCAATGAAGGTTAGAATGTGTTTGTGACTTTAAGTATCACTATCCCACAATACTGTGAAAATTTATGTAATCACTTAATCCCAATAAAAAAAATTGCAAAAAAAATGTTCAATTCTTTTAGACTGTGTGGGTGGTAAAATTTTGTAGTTCATATATAATTTCCTTTCCAGAATGTTCCATTCTAACTTCTCTCTTATAAAAGTAGCAGATGAAGTTAGATATTTTTTATTTGATTGATTATGCAAGGGTAAGAATATTGATTTCCTCCAATTTCCTCAAGGTGAATTTAGGTCTTTGTAGAATGAAATGAAGAACAATGGTCAGGCCAGTGGCTTTGAAAGAAATGCAGCTTTTCTGACTCTAAACTTATCATAAACATAAATGGCCAATGGGACGCTACTAATGGTCATGAGTTAGAGGAGGAAGAAAAAAATTAGGGGTAGGTCACAGGCCTGATGGCTACCTACTGCCAACTTCATTTCACAGGCCAAGAGAAGTTCTGACCCCAGGTTAAACAGTGAATATCAGGATTGAAATGAAAGTACTACCTCCTAAAGGGTAGCCTTCACTCAGGCTGATTTGCAAACATTAACTCTCTGGACAGCCAGGCAGCCAAACAGTACATGGGGGGGGGGAAGAGCTGTGTTCTTGGGCAAAAGACCATTCTGGCTCTCTTTCCTCATCCTTACAACTATAGATTGACTACTGGCTGCCTGCTCACAGGGCAGATATAACTGGAGAATCAGATGAAATAGTGTTGAAGTAGGATATAAATGCTAATAACCTTGAGTAGTTGGACATTTATAATGTGCCAGGCATTGTGCTAAACATCACTTTATTAACACAGCACCACTAGAAGGCAGACATACTATCACTCTAAATGAACATGTAAAGCTGTAGAGTTAGTTCATCAAAGCTCTCATTAGTGTGAAACAGGGCTGGCTGACCCCCTCAAACTCAAGCTTATAATCCCTAATGTCATCATGGTCAATGTTAATAGCATTGCATATACATAATAGCCAAAAGGCAGTAAAGGAGATTTACCCCACAAGAACAGCATCAAAACAAAAGAATTTATTTTTCCTAGTTAATAAATAATTTTAAATGACCACCCTCTACATTTTTCAAGAATAGTTGCACTGTAGAGAATAAAATAGTGATAAACTCAGTAATGTATATATGTTTATCTGAATTAGGGAAGGAAAGGGGAACAAAAAAAGTGGTGAGACAAAGGACAAAGGAGGAACCAATGCAACAATGATACTGACAAAACAATATATTGGAAATGCTCTGTACAACTCAGGGGAGGGGTTGTGTGGGGGGAAGTGGGAGAAAAATGAAGGGAGAGGTTACAAATTCGATAAGATATGTATTCACTACCTTATGTATGTAACTGTAAACCCTTTGAACATCATCTTGACAATAAAATAAATTAGTGATAAAATAATGTTAGGTAAACAAAGTTTTAATATCATTTTCTATTCTTTCTATTTTGCTATTATTTTTTTCTGGTTATTTTGTTTTGTGATGCTGAGATGAGCCATAGGGCCAAACAAGCTCCCACTGAGCTGCACCCTTAGCTGGTTGTTGTATATGTGGATATATCTAAAACATTTTCCTTACATTATTTTTAAAAGATCCCTTCTTAAAATGCGAACTTTAGATATTTTCAGCTTTCATGCACTCTCTTTCTGGTAAATATGAATAAACAGTGGACTCCATTCCCAACAACACAGAACCTGGTATGAATGGTCATGGTAACAGTCTCCTTATGGAATATGATATGCCCTTGTTTGGGGTAGACATTCTAATTAACCTACTTCTTATTTGTTTTATCTGTAAATGAGTTGTGATATTTGAAGATAAATGTCTAGTGTTTTAGTGCAAAACATGATTTTATCAGGTTAGGTTAAAAGTAAGCTCCAACTTGAAAAACTGTCATTTTTTTTGTTTCAATTATGACTAAGATGTAAAAGTCATTGATGAATGACTGGCAGCACTCATTTGGTCATTTATTTCTCATTGCTAGGGATGGCGACATCAAGACTTTTGGTAATCCACAGTAGAATTTTTTTGACCATAAAGAAAACAAAATTATTGTTATTGGCTTTTTTAAAAAAGAAAATGGATGAAACTGCAGATCATCATGTTAAATGAAGTAAGACAGTCTCACAGACAAGTATCACAGATCGTGGCTAATTATGTGAAACTGAAGAGAGGAGCAAGAATATGAAGGTAAAAAGAGGAATATCATGGGCATGGAAGAAAAGGGAAATCAGGGAAGGAAATAACAAAGGGTAAGAGAAGGGGCAATAGGATTAAAGTATATTGCATACACATGTGGAAACATCATAATTAAATCCATGATTATGTGCAATTAACATATTAATCAAATGCATTTTAAAAGGTTTTGTGATTCAAAATTTTATTCTTTGTATTCATCTTGTCCCTTTAAAACATCACATTTAGTGAATCACTGACCAACAAGTAAACCAGAAGATGGCGTTGAAGGTTAGCAATCAATTTTAAAACAAGATAACTGTGAAAAGTCTCTGAAAGTTTCATATGATGACTTTTTGAACTTCAGAAAACAGAGGATGTGAATGAGTGAAGCAAATGCTGAAACTGACTTACAGGGTTCAGAGGACCTGTGGACAAAAGAGCAAAAGCTCTAGCTTGCAACTGTGTGTCTTTAGTCTCCTTTTGTCTAATGTGTGTGCACATTTTGAAAAGAAAGTAATACACTGCTGCCAACAGAAGTCTTTCTTAAGGCAGCAATCTGTGATCTGGTCACATTGTGCCTGAAGTGTTTATAACAGCTCCTGACAAAGTAGCATATGCTCAAAAATATCTATTGAATGAATGAATCTGTGAAAGAAGTAGAAAGGAAGAAAAACAAGTTGTAACAACAATTTTCTTCCAAGGAAACTGTTGTTTTTTTACCATGGAAAATTTACTTGGGTGAAATACAGGGCATCCTGTTAATTTCTGAGAAAGTCCTTTAGTAGTAGGGAAAACATACCTAATCTGTGCTTCACTGCACCTTTTTTTTTTTCTCCAGCCTCAATTTAGTTGTTTCCTCAATTAGGAGACATTGACTCAATATGTAAGATGAAAAGAAAACTGAGAAGTAAGTGAAATCAAAAGTTTTTCAAAAATTGCCTGTTGAGCTGGGGTTGTGAACTGAAATCATATAGAAACTGAAGATCTGATAATTTACCTGAAAAAAACTAAGTAAATAAACAGGACCAGAGCATTCAAGATGATCTGGTCAAAGGTCAGAAGGCACAAGCTTGTGGGAGTTCATTTTGTAGGCTTACAGCCTGGAAAATGAAGTAAAAATTTTAAGTACACTCAAATATGATTTCTGCTTCGGACGCTGATGCCTCACCAGAATGAGGTTAATACTATTATCATTTTCAGATGAACTGATATCCCAAAGTAATCAAGTATATAAACACCCCCCCCGCACTTTTATGTTGCTAGAATTGGAACTGCTATGCATTTTCTGAGTCGTCTCATCAGTTTAATAGATGCAAAAGTATTTACGCATCTTAAACATGTAGACCCAATATTTGAACCATGATTAGAGGTGTTCACTTTTTAATAAGGACGGTCTTCTCTAAATTCTACCCAAGACAGGCTTCTCTTTGTACATTGGCCAGGCAAAGTGTGCTCCCCAACTCTTCACCTATGCTTGTCAATAAGCTTTGCAAAGGAAGTCCTTCAGGCTCCTGCTACTACTAGCCTCCCACTTCCCGCCCTAGCCACATAGCGGTCTCGTAGCTGTTACTCATTTCTACAAGACTTGGGGCAGGTCCTGCCAGAGAGGATCTTCATTTCGCGCCTTGCGCTTCCTAGGAAGCAGCATTGAAGTGACTGGCCCAGGGGTCGCGCACGCTGGGGTCAACGCGCCAAGGGTCAGGCCCCAACCCCGCCACAGTTGGCCGTCTTCACCCAGGCTCTCCGGCTCACCCCTTGGGCCCCTGGTCTGGGCTAGCAACCCCAGCCACCCACCCCGCAGGCGGAGCCGCCCCGCCCCGCCCCGCCGCGCGCCCCGCCCCCACCGCGGCTTTCAACCTCTATAAAGTTCCTCTTTCTCACCTCACTCTTAGTTTCACCACTTGAACTTGGGACACACCGCTGTTCTCAACTCCGAGTGCCGGCTGAGGTAAGGCCAGAAATCAGACCCGGGGAGTAGTGTGAGGATGGCGTGAGAGGAAGGATAGAGTCTGCTTTCCATTTCAGAGCAGCGCCTGGGACCCTAGCTTCAGTGGGAGTCGGGAGCCCCTTTCCTACCCGGCCCGTTTCCTACCCGTCTGTGCCGGGCCGGGGCGCAGGTGCAGGCTCCTGGGCGCGGTTAGAGCATCCCGCCGCTCTACTCTGCTCTCCAGCCTGCGCCGGGGAGGCCCCCCGCGTGGAGGCCTGAGCCAACGGAACCATCAAGACTCCTGGCGTGGCTGAGGCGGGCAGTCAAGGGAATCTACCCGGGAAAGGCTGGGGAGGGGGAGCGTCCAGCGATGTCGCCAGAGGACAGCCCCTAAATCCCTTGGCTCCAATTAGAGGCTCCCTCCTTCGCTCCTTGTTATTAAGGGGCCAAAGTCACCCCAGGCTCTGGTGTGCTACCTGGTTGATGAGGGAGGAGAAGCTCCACATTTGGGCGATTCTGAGCCCGGCGCGGGGCTCTCAACCCCATCCCGGTGATCTCGTTTGTCTCCAGGCCTGGGAACTAAAGTCGCCGTCCGCAGCACCCTCTCTGCCCCCCAGCCCTCCCTCCCTACCCCGCTCCTGACGCTCCACACGCAGAAACTCCAGCTACACTTTACCACTTGTTGCTTCCAGGGCTCGCTTAACCTAGCTAGCTGGAGAGCGCTAAGATTATTCTGAGGATCAAACGAGGTTAAAGAGGAAAGATAAGGGGAGGGCCCGCTAGGTACTTCACATCTGGAAAGCCTGCATTCAGAGCTTGGAGGCAGGCCAGCCTCCACGTGTGAGGTCGCCTCTTTGTGGGAGCCAAGGAGTGCGAAGTGAGGCATGGGTAAGGGAGAGCCCCCGAGAGTGGAAAGGGACTGGGGGTGAGCAAAGAGGAACCCGAACAAGTGAGTGTGCAAACCGAATACCACAAGTAGGACGGCTGGATTGGGCAGTGTGTGGAAAGTGCGTGTATCCCAGAACTCTTGGGTTGTGGGGTGCGTTAAAATAACGCAGAGTGTGAGAAAAGGGGGAAAAGGAGGAAAGCATCCATGGAGGGCTCGGACAGCGGCAGAAGTGTGAGCGTTCAGGGGATTCTCCCATGGTCTGTTTCAGTGCCTTCTCCTGCGGGGGATTCTGGCACTGCCTGCTCAGGCTTCCATACCTCAGACTCCAGACACTGCGGGAAGGGTTTGAGACAGGGTGACCCGAGAGTGGTGCGAGTCCTGAAGGGCAGCTCTCTACCCTTGCAGCCGGAGAGTGTGAAGTCAGATTCTAGGCGTGCGCAAGGGCGGCAGGCGGCACACTGGGCATGAACTTGGAGGGCAGCAGCCGAGGTGGAGAGTTCAGCATGAGCGCGGTGAGCTGCGGTAATGGGAAACTCCGCCAGTGGCTGATCGACCAAATTGACAGCGGCAAGTACCCTGGGCTGGTGTGGGAAAACGAGGAGAAGAGCATCTTCCGCATCCCGTGGAAGCACGCAGGAAAACAGGACTACAACCGTGAAGAGGACGCCGCCCTCTTCAAGGTCACTAGCCCAAGGCGGGAGGGGATGAGATGAGAGGCAAGAAGTCCCGGACAGACCTTAGCCCCACTGCCCCTCCCCCTCATCCCCAGCTAGCCAGTTGTTGTGCCCCCTGACGGGTTGAGCCCTTAGTGACAGTGACCAAGAGCAGTAGGTGGCACTTGGGCAACGCCAAGGAAGAAGGCAAGGAGGATCACCCAAAGGAGAACCCTTCTCAATCCTTAGCAAGTACTTCCAGGAAGTCAGAGGGCTCAGGAAACAGAATATCCCTGGAGTATTGTCCAGGAGGCGGTCAAAGGCCTGAGGGCACGTGGTTGCTGCTCTGTGGGTTCCTGAGTTCCCAGCCAAGTCTTGAGCCCTCTGGATCCCTCTCTGCCTCATTTGGCTCCTGTGTGCTTCTGTCCCTCTTGGCACTAGTCAGAGCTCTTATCTGTCTACTTGGTTTTCTTTCTCACTGTGCCTGTTTTTCTAATTACTCTTTGAGTTTTTCTCTTTGGTTTTTTTTCTGCTTAGATTCAGTTTGCAAAATCTGGTTCCATCTCTGTATATTTCCTCTCTTTCCTTCCCTCTCCTTCCCTATTTCTCTCTCTTTCCCTTTTCCCTCTCTTCCTCTCCTTTTCTTTCCCTTCCTTTCCCCCATCCTCTTCCTGACTACTTCCCCCCCACCCACAGCACTGGAACCTGTGAATTATGAAGCCCAGCACCCTCATGCAGGCAGAGAAAGGCAGGGGGAGGGAATTTCCTCTGGGAATTTGCTCTCAGACTACCTAAGACTATGTGACCATCCAGGTATGTTCTGTGGGGACCTTTTCTGACCACAGCTCTTGGTCACTGTCTAGGCCACACTTAATTCAGGTACTGGATGGGTAGAGTCTATTTCAGGAGTCTCCAAAGCTCAACCTGCATTTTATAAATATAAAGTGATAGGGGCTTAGGTTAGAAATGCTTTACCTAGTGAACCCCTCGTGTCTTTCTGACCCTCATTTTAAGTAAGTAACAGTGTAAATTTGAAGAACCATTCTTTCTTTAAGGAATATGGTCCCCTGATTCTTTTTGTTTTTAAGACTTGAGTTTTGACTTTTCACACTCTTCATCCTTTCCCACTAGGCTTGGGCATTATTTAAAGGAAAATTCCGAGAAGGCATCGATAAGCCAGACCCTCCTACCTGGAAGACACGATTACGGTGTGCTTTGAACAAGAGCAATGACTTTGAGGAACTAGTTGAGAGGAGCCAGCTGGATATTTCTGACCCATACAAGGTGTACCGGATTGTTCCAGAGGGAGCCAAGAAAGGTAGGGCTTTTCTGAATGTGGATCACAGAATAAAGGCAGACTCACACTTATAGTGTCTTAATTTCATTCTCAGGCTATTTTTGCTCTTCTGTAGCCTGTTGCCTCTTGCTCTATGTTCAAGGCCAGCAGCCTCCTTGCCCACATACTCTAGGTCACAAATAGAAAATCCTATGATAGTTGAGCAGCGTAATTTGTGTGTTTCTCTGTAGATATTTGCATTGTATATATTTTCAGTTAGGCTATTCAATTACATATGAGCCAAATTTCCAGTCAAAAACTAGAAGACTCATTAGATTTAACTACCTAATAGCCTTTAATGAATAACCATTTTCTACAAGGGAAAGCATAATGGACACCCATAAGTTGATACATTTATAGTAATAAAGATGCCAACTTCAGAGTAAAAAATATGGTCAGCTGGATGCCTTATTAAAATCTGATCCCTGGGCCCTTCTTTCTGACCAGTGCATCCAAGAGTAGCTGTGATTTTTCATTTTAAATAAATAGTACAGTTGACCTCATCTGGGCAGCATCTGTTTGGTAGAACAGAATATTTGATCATAAAACACATTTAAACATGGTTTTCCTTTTTTACCTATTATACAAAAGTAAGAGCTTGTATAACCAGCTGAATGGCATGAGAAATAAGCACTCAAGGGAGGTGTTAAAAATGCTTTATTTCTCCACACAGCACTATACATTCTAAGAATCCAGCCCTTAGGTATTTTTCCAAGATTTTGTATCTAGTTCAGTTAGCTCCTTTTTTCACTCAGTGTCATTTCCCTTTTCCTCAAACACAGGAGCAAAGCAGCTTACTCTGGAAGACCCACAGATGACCATGGGCCACCCATATACCATGACACCTTACACCTCACTCCCTGCCCAGGTATAGAAGAGGATGCTGGGCTTCAGGATTCTATGGGCTGGGTCTACAATAAGGGGAAAAACCCAAGCAAAACTAGCAGGGCTTAAGTGTATGCTATGACTGGTCCAATAGCTGAATAAAACCAACCCCTGGTCATTGAATACATGTTTCACTTTCCAAGTGACCATCATTCCCTGTTGGTTGAATAGGGGAGTTTGAGTGTGTCCTGCCTGTCGGATATGCTTCTTCTATGGATTCTCAAATTTCCTGGGAAGCATATCTTTTGTAGAAGTCAAAGGTTTTGGAAGTAGTGCTCTATCATGTGAAACCACAGGGCAGCTGATCTCTCCAGGCTTCCTGATGTGAATTACAGCTCTGTTTTATTTGCTTTGGTGGGTAAAAGAAGGCAAATTTCCCTGCAGTATTTTTGGTGCAGGGCTGAACCATATGATGAAACTTTACACAGATTTGTTACTTTACAACAATGTCTCCATTGTGCTTTTTGACCTTCAATAGCTACTTTCTACCTAGTTTTATGAACACTTTTTCCCAGACTTTGGCTTGGATAAAATGATTTGGCTTTAAGCCAAAAAGGAAATTCCTTGAAGAGTTTGGGGATAGGTATGCACCTTCATTCCAATACTTTCATCTCAGCAATTCTTGTGTTTCTTTAGCAGGTTCATAACTACATGGTACCACCCCATGACAGAAGCTGGAGAGATTATGTCCCTGAACAGCCACACCCAGAAATCCCATATCAATGTCCTGTGACATTTGGTGCTCGTGGCCACCATTGGCAAGGCCCAACTTGTGAAAATGGTAAGGAGTGTGCCAGTCATGAGGCAGAAGAACAAACTTTGGCTAGGGAAATCCCAAGCAGTCCTCCTAAACAGCACCACTTGGCTTTCCCCTTCCCAGAGGCTTCCAGAAAGATCTTTATAGCTAATGGGGGTGGTGAATATTTTGTCCTTTTGGCTACTAAAGTCCTCAGAGACGAATAGGATCTCAGAAACCATATTGGACCCCTCCCCATGTAAGACTTTAATTAAAACCCCAGAGATCATTCTAAACAGGTGAAATGTAAAAATTTTAAATAGAGATCACGGAAGTTCACAGAATGTAAGTTATGTGCCCAGCACATACAGTAAGACAGAAAAGAGAATCAATTCTAGATTTTTAAAGACAAAACCCACCTTCCACATAAGACCAGGGATGTCAGCTGACAATCTGTCAACCTAGCTATAACTCTATCTCTATATGCATCTATATCTCTAATAATAATATATACAGTATTACATACATTTACATATGTATCTATATCCTTAGACAGATACATGTATAGATATATAGATACATATATAGATATATAGATACATATATAGATATATGTAATACTGTATAAGTTATTATATTAAAATATATATTTATTATATTTTAATAAATTTATATATATATTTTATATACATATGTATACATATATATGCTTATATATACACATACTATATGTAATATATGTTATATATATGCCTACATATATATGTGTGTGTGTGTATATATATATATATATATATATATATATATATATAAAACAATCTGGTTAATAGGTTAATATTTTTTCATCCTCCCTGAATGATTTTAAGCTCTAATTGTGATCCTAGGGAAAAGGGAAGAGATTGGGACAGTCCTTTCTCTTGGTTTGTCCCTTAATACTGACAAAGGGTCATATAATCTCACTAATCTATTTCTTTCTTCCCATTTGGAAAATGTGTGTACATCGGCTGTATGGGAATATAGGAAGATTATTGAGTCAGTATACATCTCTTTTGCAGTGATATGTGCATTGTAATTGTTTTTTTAGCATTAAAAGCAGTAACTATTAAAGGTGAAGGGAATAGACAACCACCATGAAAAATAAAAATACAAAATATCTCTACAGGAGCTTAGCTAGTATTGGGTACCCAAGGACTTACTCTGGATTATATCTGGTCTCATGCCCACAAGAGTCCTACAAACATAAAACTGAGACCGTGTAGCAGAAATAGTTTTCTAGGAACAAAAGACTTTTCTCAATGTGTGTCCAATGGATAATAACAAGCCTTTTAGGACTTTAGAGTTAGTTATGCAAATAGGAGTCCAGAGATGGGTCCACACTGATACTTCCATGTGTTCTTGGAATGTTTGGTCCTCCACAATTCCTTGTTGTCACTTCCTTTTCCTTTCATTCCCCATCATTCTTGACTTCTGGCATTGAACAAGTATATCATTATTTAATGTTTATATTTAGTACCATGTCTAATTGAAATTAAATTTTATTCAGGTTTAAAGAGTGATTTGAAGCAAAGGGTGTTTTTCTAGTTTGCAGTAGAAGAATCAACTCACATTAAACTAGTATTTGAAATTTTAGGCTTTGGCCAAATGCACAAAACTGTATTAAAATAATAACAATAGGAAAGGAGCAATCAAATTTTAGATTGCATGTAAATAGAATGGATGGATGTGTTTCAATGCATGGATAACATTAAATGAAGTGCCAGCAAAATTAGCTTCATGTTCAGTGCCAGGGATCAGACCCAGGGCCTCACATATGCTAGAGAAGTTCTGTACCACTAACTTATATTCCAGCCATGTCTGTTTATATCTAATGTAGTGTATGCATACTAGGATGCAGGAACAATGTTTCTATTTTCTCCTGAGTCCAGAAGTAGTAAACAAAATTAAGTTGTGGACTAAACAACTTGTTACTTTTTAATCAACCTTTTTGATTAGAGAAAGGGAGAGAGTTCTGAGTTTCCTTTCGAAGCTGAACAATGATTCCTTCCTCTTACATACTTGGTTTTTCCTACTAGATATGACCTGCTTTTGCTTCACAACCAGGTGCCCTCTGTTTTTAGGTGCTTAGAGCTGGGCTTTCGTTGGAAGGCAGTGGGGCCCAGGTCCTCCTTCCCAAGCCCAGTGCAGTCAAACAACTCAGACACTGCTTAGACATCATCTGATTTTTATTTGCAAATGCAGGTTGCCAGGTGACAGGAACCTTTTATGCTTGTGCCCCACCTGAATCTCAGGCTCCTGGAATCCCAATAGAGCCAAGCATAAGGTCTGCTGAAGCCCTGGCGCTCTCAGGTGAGTGCTGCACTTGCTTCTGGAGTCACCCATGGGAGACCAGCCTCTGCTTGGCCATACTCACCTGGGGTAGTTGTGGCATGGATTTAAATACTCACGTTGCACCCTTGGGGTCAGGAGTGGATACAGATATATCCTGGCACCCAGGGTGTGTAATCACCACGGTCAATAAAGAGCATGCTGGAAAATCTAGAAGTTAAAAAAAAATCTAGAAGTAAAGCCAGCTAGCCTGTGATTCTGATAATAGTTCCAAACACTGATAGAGTCGTTCTAATTTCTCTATTGACACTTCTCTGAATTTCTAGGAATGTGCAAACACTCATTTAAAAAAATTCCTTTAGTCAACATTCGCATAATAGGATAGCTTTTTAGAAAAGCATGAAGTCTTCTCATTGCAGAAAGCTGTCCATCTGTCCAAGGTTAAGCCTCAAACAGGACATGGATCTTGGGCACTAGTTCTCCATGACATTTGTGTGTGTGTGTGTGTGTGTATGTGTGTGTGTGTGTGTATGCTGGCCCTGCAGCTTGGCCTGGACACTGTTCCTGGGCCTTTTTTGCTCAAAGCTAGTACACTATCACTTAAGCCACTGCTCCACTTCTGTCTTTTTGGTGGTTAACTAGAGATAAGAGTCTCACAGACTTTCCTGCCTAGGCTGCCTTCACATCACAATCCTCCTGTGTAACTAGGATTTCAGATGTAGGCCACCATTGTGCCCCAAAAGAGTATACATTTTAATTATCCATACAAGTATGGATCTGTTTTTAATTGTAAATTTCCATTTTTAGAAGAATCCATGTACCAGGAAAAGCTTATCTATTTTAAGAAAGGCTATCACAGATTGCACAGCATGTATTTCTATCACTCTATCTATGCTTTTGAGGATAATTTTAATTGTTTTAAGAAGAATGTGAATTTATATTAAAAATGAATAACTTCAGAAATCACATCTTGCCACTGGCTCTGTGATAAGAATACTAAGTTCTAAAGGTTTCAAGGAGAAGAGAGTTGGAACTTTCCTGGTTCCCAGAGCAGTCTACCTTTCAATTCCTTCCATATACGCCTAAATCTGAAGTTCTGAGAGGCTTAGCCTTTTTCTGAGGTGCTTAGAATAGAATAACTGTGGGTATCCTCTAGGGGAAGGCATTTCTGAGGAGCAAGTCTTGCCTTAATCATGTAAGAATTGTGTGGGTATTTGAAGAATAGGAAACCAACAGCTATTTATATGTCTTCAATTTCATGATTTCTGATGACATTAAATGAAATGAAACCTACCCTGAAAGTCACATCTGATGGTCAACACCCACTATCATCAGTGAACCACCTGACTAGCTGTTTACGGTGGCAGAAATTGAAAAGACAGTGATATGGGTTACATCTCAAAACCTGTCATTGAGGAATAAGAGACTTTTGTGGTTTTCTTTTCTGGTATGCATAAGAGAAATTAGTTATGAACCTGAGTGCATCTCTTACAGAACTGTGCTTCCCAGTGACCCTTCAATCCAGGAACTCAGTTAAGGGGTCCTTTGCAAATCTAGCTTGGGACGTTCTGTCTATGGTTGATACTTTAATGAGATTTATGAACTCAGCAAAACTATTGTAAATAAATTTAATTTGTCTTAAAGTTTTAGAAAACCCATTTTTAGAGATATATTCAAAATTAAAACACAAAACTTAGTGAGATTTCAGCCTTAACCATTGACTCTTAGAGCATTTTTCTCACTGATTTCTCCCCATAAGAATCATATTTGTCTATATATCCATTAGATACGTACATACACATGCACATATATGTACATACATATATGTATATAGTAGAAAATTAGTTTAAAATTGGGAAAAACAAAAGTGGAAAATAAAAATACCATTTACCATCACCCTATCACTACTCTTAAAGCCTAGGTCCTATCCTTAAACTTACGTGTATAATTTTTACCTGACCACATCATATTAATATTATAGGAAGTTGGAGGTATGTTGACATATTATCTATTCATATATTATATATGTAGATATATGATGTATATGCATATATGTATATATATATATAGTGTGTGTGTGTGTGTGTGTGTGTGTATGAATGTGAATGTGCCAATGCTAGGGCTTGAACTCAGAGCCTCAAGCTTGCTTGGCTTTTACTCAGAGCTGACACTGACACTTAAGCCATGCTTCAGCCTGGGTTCTTACTGATTAATTGGAGATGGAATCTCTCAGTTTTTCTGATTTTCTGTGTTAAACGCATGATCCTCCAACTCTCAGCCTCCTGTAGGCAGCTAGGATGAAAGGTGTGAGCCACTGGTGCTTTCATAATTATTTTTGCTAGTAGAAATTAAAATCTACCTGCAAACTCAATTCATTTAAATAATTCTCACCCAGTGACACATGACAGAATTTCATATACAAATATTATTACTCTTTTCATCATCATCATTCAAAAGCAATGTTATTAACCAAGGTTCTTCCTGCTTTGCATAAAATTGGTGAAAGATATGCTCCCCTCACAAGAAAATAGAATACATGGTCACATACATGTGGAAACTGCTGAGTTAGACAAGTAAGTTTCTTTTCTTTTTTTTTTTTAGACAAGTAAGTTTCTGTGTGGGCTTCTTTAAGTATTGAATGCACTAACCTCCTGGAATCCTCAATGGTGAAAATAAGGCATACAGCATCTCTAAGACTTCTTTCTTTCTTTATTTATTTTGCCGGTCATGAGGCCTGAACTCTGGGTCTGGGCGCTGTCCCTCAGCTCTTCAGCTCAAGGCTAGCACTCTACCACTGGAGCCACAGCACCACTTCCGGCTTTTTCTGTTTATGTGGTGCTGAGGAATCGAACCCAGGGCCTCATGCTTGCAAGGCATGCACTCTACCGCTGAGCCACCTTTCCAGCCGACTTCTTTTTTTAATTTTTAAAAACTATCTGTAAGTAGTTATACAATGGGATTTCAATTCAGCATAATTTTTATGAGTATAATGTTCTCCCAGACTTCTTTGACACTGAAACTTTTTGCTTGATCCTGATGCATCTTGAGATTTAATATTCTGTCCTTCACTCTGGTTGAGTCTTTGGGCATGGTGGTGGTTGGCCCAGACCCAACAGCATTGACTCCAGAGCTCTGTGTTTTCAGACTGTCGGCTGCACATCTGCCTGTACTACCGAGAAATCTTGGTGAAAGAACTAACCACTTCCAGCCCCGAAGGTTGCCGAATTTCCCATGGACATACCTATGATGCTAGCAACCTGGACCAGGTCCTATTCCCTTACCCAGAAGACAGTGGGCAGAGGAAGAACATTGAAAAGCTGCTGAGTCACCTTGAGAGGGGTGTGGTCCTGTGGATGGCCCCAGATGGGCTTTATGCCAAAAGATTGTGCCAGAGCAGGATCTACTGGGATGGACCTCTGGCGCTGTGCAGTGATCGACCTAACAAGTTGGAGAGAGACCAGACCTGCAAGCTCTTTGACACACAGCAGTTTCTGTCAGGTAACACATACACATCTTTTGGATTAGAGAGTAATTATCAATTTTGGCTGTTTTTATCAGAGAAGTAGGATTCCTATTGATCCTTCAATCGAAAGATGTCACTGTAGGTATACTTTCTTGCCTGATTGCCCTCTTGCATTCCATAGCACCAACCATGGGAGTCCAAACATGACAGGGTCCCTCTTTTCCCAAATAGTGCTCTAACTCCTATTAAGTGCCCAGTGGACTTCATACCAAAATAGACTTCCTTTTGGGTTCCTATCTTACCTCTGTCTGCCTGCCATTTGCTCCCCATATCAGCAAAGAGGCACAAAGAAGAGTCTGGATGAAATAGCCATGGTAGTTGTGATACTAAGCTGATACCTTTCAATTTTGGTTTTCAGAGGTAGTTTTCTTCATAAGGTTCAGGTTTTATTTGTAGTGTGCTCTCCACAAGCTTATCTCCTGAGGGTTCAGCTCTTTTCTGGTTTCAAAAAAAAATCATGAAGGTTAGAAGCACATTCTTGGTTATGAGATGTGTTGTCTATGCAGATATTACCAACAGATGGACCAAGTCTAAGCATGTACTGAACTGATTGAGCTAGAGAGAAATGATGACAAGTCTTTATGTTCTCTATCATATACAATTGTGTCTCATCATACTTTCCAACACTTTTTATTGCCCTAGTTTTCATATTGTAAAGTTGAATTAGCCCTGGACTGGCTTTTGTGAAATCTTTGACCAGATCTGGTTTAACTTCATCCAGAGGGAACACTTAGCCATATAGATGTGGGAAGCTTGGGTGGAAAAAGCTGTCCTACCTACCTAATATGGCTAGTTTGGGCCCTTTTATTCTAAACCTATTGTTTCACACATTCCCTTCTTGAAATACCCCATGGCTTTGGTTTTTCATGCACCTTCCCTTTTCTAAGCACGTACCTCCCCTCACCTGTGTACAGCATATTGTTCTGAAATATGTACATAGCATAGAATGGCCAAATTGGGCTAAGCTAGTTAACAAACACATTACCTCATACACACACACACACACACACACACACACACACACACACACATATCTTTTATAAGGGAGGTAATAAAAACACTAGTTGAGGTTTGAAGTCTGCTATTAGCAATTTTCAAATATACAATGCATTGTTAATGTCTCAAGGATGTATACAGATCTCTTGAACTTATTCTCCTGTATAACTGAAATTATTTGATCTATAGCCACTCTCATCTCCCTCCCCCACCTCTGATAACCACCATTCCACCCTGCTTTCATGATTTCAACTATTTTAGATTCTACATGTGAAATCTAGCCCTAGTTGTCTTTCTATGTGAGCCTAATTCATTTAGCATAATTCCCTTCATGTTTAGCTATGCTGTTACAAATTACAGGTTTACCTTCTCTTTACAGATATACACACGTCTTAGTGATACACACATACCATATCACATTCTCTGTATCCATTTATCTCTTTCTAGGCCCTTGGGTACATTCCTTATCTTGGCTTCTTTGAATGAGGTTATTATGAACAGTGCTTCAGTATGTGCAGATAGCCCTTTAACATGCTTACTTTATCTCCATCCTTTGGATATAAACCCAAGAGTAGGAAGCTAGTTCTTGAAGGTGCTTCTATATTCTATTCATTTTCAATAAAAATATGAAGCACCTATTAGCTCAGTGCCAGTGTCTGACCCAAATTTCCTTGTTTATTTAAATTCTTTTAGTGCCCCCAAATAAATGTGTCTCTAGATAAAAGCTCTTGACAAAGCTCTTGACACAGAGGTGGGACACTAGAAGGTAGAAGGTGAATTAGCTCTGACTCCCCCAAGGCAGCTGCATGGTTAAGGTACTTTAGGCCAAGGTCTTACTCCTAAGCAACAGATCACTTCCAAGTCTTGGTCATACTGCATTTTATGTATTGGTGTCAGGACAAGTGTTTATGCCAAGGAACATCTGAAATGTTTATAACTCTGTCCTGGAAGGTAGTACTACTTCTCCAGTTTGAGTTTCCTCAGAGGATTCAAACACACACCATGGGTGGGGAGAGGGCTTTAAGATTAAGGAATCCAAGGAATATATCACTGTTTCTCTGAGTTTCTCTTACCAAGCATGTTTAAAGGAAGTAGAATCCTACATTGTGATTGATCTGTAAGTTACGCTTTGAGTCACAGATTCACAAGTAATGTGGGTGCAGGAGAGAAGCAGGTGTGACAGAAGGACATCATCCTCAGGCTGCAGATTGATTCGTATAGAGTTTAATAGTTATCTACAAGAAAGAGTTGTTCCTCTTTTCTTTTTCTCCCTATGTAACCAGGGCCTGTGTTTTTTTGTTTGTTTGTTTGTTTTGCCTAGAATCTCTGAGGTTTACTTATGTTCAAGCAGGACATTGAGACACAACAGATGGGCAGGCCAGCCTCCACATAGTTAAAAGTTTCCATCGAGCATTTTTGTGTTAGCAAGCATTTGAAGCAGGGCTTTTTAGAGAATTGGACCAACTTACCACTCTTATTAGCTTCTATAGGTATGCTTTCAGGCCACAACAGTGTTAATGTGTTTTACATATTCTAAGTCTGTTGTGTTTAATTTGAATTCTGGAAGAAGAAGGAAAAGAGAAAGCAGGAAGTCAAATGGTGTTGTAAGTTAGCTAGAAATACTTCAGCTGCAGAGAGCAGTGGAATCTTTGATATCTACCAATTGAGGACTTGCATCCTGCCAGGGACAGTCCCCAAAAGCATAGCTGAGGGTGCACATCTGATGACGACCAACCACAGTTGCACTTCTACTCTGTATAAGTATCAACCGTATAAATTCTATTCTTTTGCACATAAAACCATAGCATCCAGATCCAGGCCTAAAAACTCTCTTGAATCTGTTAACAGGGCTAAACACCAGAAGTTGGACACATGCATTTTTTCTTTTCCTTTCTTTTATATTATTACTATTACTATTATTATTATTGTTATTATTTTGCAAGGCTGCAGCTTGAACTCAGATGTATTCATCTATTTCTAGTTTTTGCCATTTAATTGGAGATAAGAGTCTCAGTATTTGTCTGTAATCAGCTGGATTGTTACTGAGATCCTCACATCTCAGGCTCCTGATTAGTTAAGATTAGAAGCATGAATCATCAGTGTTTAGCACATGTATTTCTTCTTCTCCTCCTCCTTTATTGGCATGCTAAGTAGGGAACCCAAGGCACTGAGGATGTGAAGCCAGTGCTTTACCACTGAGCTACATATACCCCTAGGCCTTGGGTATATATTTTTCTAACAATGTCCCTGTTGTTTTGTATATTTAGATAAGAACAGTGGCTTTAGCATATCCATATCCACCAGAACAAGGGCCAGTGAGGCTTTATCATTACCTCTTCTGATTATTTTTCTGTTCCTGTCTACTCAGTTCTACAGTTTGGGGTCTAGATGTTAGTACTGAGATGCAGCAATTGTTAGCTGGTGCGTGAGATCTAGATGCTCTGGGAGCAGTTACTGGATAGTGTGGCCTCCGCAGTTATGCAAGGGTGTTTTTAAATAACTCTAGGAGGTAAAAAAAACTCTCAATTTTAAAAAACAAAAGTGTATTCCCTCTTTTTCCTGACTTTTCTTTTTCTTTCCCGCCTCCTTCACACCTTTTGGCAACCTTTTGCTTCCTTGTGGGTCCAATGCTGCAGAGCAGTGTTCATAATTTCAGGCCATATTCTCTGATAGAACTATCATTATATGTTTCTTTATCAGGAAATGCATACATGTACATGTGATTTTTGTACTTGGGGTCTGCTCTTTCCTTCAGGGACCTATTTAGAGGAACAGTACCACCCAATGCTTCTCACAGTGAAGAATCACAGGCAGCTCTTGCTTCCTGTTTAGCTACTTTACTGGGTTTCTAAGTAGGGTTTTTTTTTCTTGTGGGTTCACAGAGCTGCAGCCCTTTGCTCACCATGGCCGGCCCCTGCCAAGATTCCAGGTGACTCTGTGCTTTGGGGAGGAGTTTCCAGACCCCCAGAGGCAGAGGAAGCTCATCACAGCCCACGTGAGTATTGCATTACATTTTCATTGAATTACACACCAGTGAGTTTTCCTATTCTTTACCAAGAATAAAGTCCAATTTAGAGAAGTCTCAAGTGAAAAGCAAATGTCAAGTGACCTGGGAAAATAAATCTAACCTCAAAATAGAACAGGAGGAAGTGAGGTCCAGTGATCAGCACAACACAGGTTCCACATGCTATTCACCTAAGACCCGGTCATCACAATACTAGGGCTTTCATCCCATCTTTCTTTATTTTTCAAATTGTTACATTTTAGTACTACAGGGATTAAAAGGATGAATACTAGAAGTTGTTCTTTAACATTCTCTTGTGTCTAGCTGTTTGTGGGACATGGATAAGCACAAGGCCCTGAGCTCAAACTTTAGTACTACACCCTCTCCTAAAGGAGAGATAGAGATTGGAAAGATTATGATTCATGGCCAGCCCAGATAAAAGAAATTAGCCAGAGTCTACTTCCCTAAGTTTAGTGTGGTGATATATGCTTGTCCCCAAATTTTAAGTGTGGATTGCCTTTAGAAGCTGACCCCTAGGCAAAATCAGAAAACCCTATCTGAAAAATAACGTAAGAAAAACAAAGATGTGGGGATATGGCTCAAGCATAGAGTACTTGCTTACCAAGTAGAAGGTCACTTCAAACCTCAGTACCACTGAGAACGAATGCTGTCTTGTGAACATTGTTTTCCTTTAAAAAGCAAGTATTTTTCTAACTGGGAAGCTGCCTGTTTATGCATGCCCCAAATTTTTAGGTATTATTTAGTTCTTGGACATGTTGTTTGAGGAAGCTGAATCTTTCAAGAAATCCAAATGATTAGTCCTTCCTCTAACACTGTTTAAGATGCTGCAGCTATGATGAGTAAACAACATTTTTATAAAAAGGAAAACAGGCTCTCATCCCATTCCCATTATTAGAAACCAAACACTCTTAAACCTGATCTTGACCATACAACCCCACTTCTTGATTATAAAAACAAAAACAAAAACAAAAAACAAACCAACAGAAACATAATCCTGGAATTTAGCCTTTTCTCATGAATTATATCCAGTGATTGATATAATAATTCATATAACTATTGGCAACAAAGATTGTTTTAAAAACTTGAATTAATAAATAACACTTAAGAAGTAGATGATAAAGTGAAGCCTTGTTGTGATTTTACAGGGATGCAATAGCTTTCCTTAAGGGTAGCCAAATAAGGTACCCCTCAAAAAGAAATTAAACATGCCCTACACATGAGTTGAATTTTTTTAAATGGCTTTGTAAAAGTACTAGTGGTTCAAACTTATAATCTGAGTACTCCAGAGAATAAGATCAGAGGGTCACAGGTTGAAGCCAGCCAAGGCAGAAAATTCTGTGAGACTCTTATCTCTAATTAACTTGCAAAATGCAGGAAGTAGAGGTATGACTAAAGTAGTTGAGCACCATCTTTTAGTAAAAAACCCATGCAAGAATATGAAGCCTGAGTTCAAGCTCCAGGACTGGCATAATGAAAAGCAATTAATTAAATTTAAAAATTTAATTTTAAAATGGGTTTAATTAATTCCAGGTACTTACAAAGGATTTATGCTGGTCATCATGTATCAAAAACAAAAAGACTCAGTTTAATAGCATGATTGCCTTATCAAGAATATTCAGCTTGTCTCTGATGCCATAAGAAAAAGCTCATATAAATAGCTTTTAACATTCATTTATCATAAGAACAGTCTTAAATAACAGTCTTAAAAACCAAATGTTGATTTTTGTTTTGATGAATGTGATCCACACTCATAACTAACAACTTGTGTCTACATTGAATTTTGTTGCTTTTTATTTTACCTTTGATTTAAAATTATGAACCTTACCTATGATCATAAGTTATTTTGGGTGAGCCCTGCAGCCTGTCAAACTGCGGTCACAATTAGACTTACTCTGAAATTTACTTGGTCTTTAATTTGCCCATTCATCTGATAATGTTCAATCTTAATTAAAAGTAAAATGAAAGATAGAGTTGGTTAAGCGTATCATCTTTAATTGTAGTCTCAATTGAAACTCAGAACTAAATAGATTCTATTTACAGGTTGTTTTGTATAAGGGCTAACCAAAACTGGCTTTTCCAATGGTTCCAAATATGAAATGTTTTAATGTGTTACAAAATGCAACTTTATATTTCACTTAAACTTTAACCTTTAGAATTTGAGGGTTATTTCATAATGAGCCAACTTCAGGATGTTAAAAGAATATCTCAGTAACATCTTTCTTAAATGTCTTATTAAAGGTGGAACCTCTGCTAGCCAGACAGCTATATTATTTTGCTCAACAAAACAGTGGACATTTCCTGAGAGGCTATGATTTACCTGAGCACATTAGCAGTCCTGAGGACTACCACAGATCAATCCGCCATTCCTCCATTCAGGAATGAACATTGTCAAATAATTTGTTTCAGTGTAAATATTTGGCTCTGCTGACAGTTCTCAGTTTCTTCTGAGGAATTTAGAAGCAGAGGGGTCTCACTTCCACAGTGGAGGAAAATGCAGCAAGAAGATGTGCAGCAGCATCTACATCTGACTGAAAATCAAGCTTCTTCCAGAATAAATGATAATTTCCCAGCATGACAAGTAGATTATTCCAATGTCTTAGTGAGTGCCATCACAAATAACTGTGAAAATTGACCTACTAATGTGTTTACATTGACTTAAGTGCTTTTTTCAATCTTGTGAAGATTAGTTCTTTCTTAAAACAGAGAAACCTTGCTTTTCAGTATTGATCTTTGAATCTGATCATGAGAACAGTTAAATGTTCCATTTCTCAGGGAAGTAAGGTCTGAATAGGAGACTACTCTGTTCCCTGCCCCCCAAATATACTCATAGATATAAGGGCCATAGTTTTTGTCAGAAAGTTCATTGAGTGAAAGGACCCCAGACTGAGGTCCTTAGCCTGAGGCTGGACTATAGTGCCAGGAGTGAGCCTGGGTATATTCAGGGTAGTCTCTGCCCCTAATACCACTGCTTCCTCCGTGGGTTTTTCTGGAAGACTGTAGATGGAGTGTTACTATTTTCTTGAGCCAAAAATTATTAGGGCTACTCTTGCATGGCCTATTTTATCTGTCATACAATCTAATAATAACTAGTTAAGAGGATTTCTTCTGTTACTTTGTGGGTTTTTTTGTCTCTGTCACATTCTTTTGAATTATTGGTAAGACTTTTTCTTAAAGAACAACAACCTAACTACTAATGGATATATTTTTAAAGATCTGTGACATTTCCCCTCTTTTTGTTTGTTTTGTTGGGCTATTGGTAGTACCATGGCAACACTAAAGGGGAGGAGTCAGCAACTCAGGTTGATGAGCTTTGTTAGGACACCCTGGCAGGCCTCAGCTGACTATGCAGCTGCCACTCAGAGGGAGATTTCTGCTTATTTTGTATATTAGATGCTTCCTCATGCCAATAATAGTTTGATCAGGCCTTAAAATTACTGTGCTTTTTCCAAATACATTCTCTTATAGCATCCCAAAGATAGCCAATTGTTTCTGTAAATTTGACCTCTTGTTTTCTTATCTGTTTTGTTTAGATTGTTGGCTCTAAGTTCAAGTACTTTTCTCCAACTACAAAACAATCACTATTACTTCCAGTCACAGCAAGAGGCAATAGTTCTCAAATACATGCCACTCTTGTTCTATCTTCATTCTTTAGTTCATCCCACAAGCACATACTGAATGCCTGCTATATCCCTCGTATTATATAGGGCAAAACATTTATCAAGTTCCTTAAGTATGAAGCATTCAAATGTTGTTGTGTTTTTTTACTCTTAAGAAAGGTTTTTTTTCTTAAGACTAAAATAACACATTTCAGAAAAATGTAAGGAATCTAGAAGAGGAAAAATAAATGAAAAGCATCTCTTCTATTTTTCCTATCTTTAAATCTTCTTCCCTAAAAGTCTCTACAAGAATAACTCAGCTTATTCCTTCAACACATTTGTTTTCTATAAATACATATAAACTTTTAAAAAAAACTTTGAGTTCATCCATTTTTATTGTAAAAATACTGTACAGAGGAGTTACAGTTACATGAGTAAGGTAATGAGTACATTTCCTATCAAGCATTGTGACATTCTCCTTTGTTTTTTGCCTACCATCCCTTCCCTCCCCACCTCCCCAACTCCTCCCTTCTCCCTACCAAGTTGTAAAGTTTGTTTTCAACAGTGTCTTGTACATCTCAATGATACAATGGGTCAACCTGTATCCTTATTTCAGCATTTTGTTATTTACCTTCCCCTCCCCAAATTACAAAAAATGTATATACAAAATACAGGGCATTGACATTAAATATAGTGAAAACAGGGGTTATACCATGGGGGAAGGAGTTCATACATTTTTATGCCATGTTCTATGTACCTAACAGTAAATACTTACCTCCTTCTTGTAGAGGCATTGAATTCTGCTGCAATGTGCCCAGTAGGGTTTAAGGTTTGTCGTTAACTTAACACTCTGCATGGAAATGTTTGTCAGCATATTGTGTCTCATGAGCTGCAGTAATTTATACATCTTATAGATGTAAGGTATTTGGGGGTATATTATCCCTATCCTAAAACAAGATGAAGATAAAACTAGAGCTTGTTACTTTCTGGGGCCTCCAACATGGTTCCAAACTCACTAGAGAATATTTCATTCCACTCTAGCAGTTCACCTAAGTTCTCTTCAGGATTTCCGCAGAACCCATAGATCCTCATTCTTGAAGCAGATGTCTGTTGTACATGTATTTTCTAGTTTTCTTTAATATTGTGCTGCTTTAACAATGGAGCTGTATTTTCAGGAAAATGTCTATTGGCTTGAGCCGTGCCTCCTGTCTCTCTCTATAGCTATGTATACTAACTTTCAATCTTGAGGGATCTATGGGGAGTGATCTATGATATGGTTAGGTGAGGAACCTGACAGCTGTCTCAGGCCTCTGGAAAGGAATGGCTCTCTCATTCCTTGTGATATATTGAGATGCATACAGTCAAATTTAATTTGTCCTCACTAGAAGATGATGTTGAAAGAGTTTAAGTACTCATGCTAAAGAGCCTTGGATCACAGAGAAAATGGAGCCATCTCATATAGTTTTTGGCTTATTTCTTTTTGAGATTTCATGTTTAGCAAAACTGGGTAGCAATTAATGTCTGGAACACCGTAGAAAACCAGATGATCAATTCTAGACTGAAACGTAGATACTCCCCACCCCTACCCCAACATACATATGTATACACACACCTTGGGAGAGAGGGAGATGAGTAGAACAGGGTATCTTGAACAATGATTTGAACTAGAAAGACTGCTTCATTTTGAGACTGCCTCAACCTGCTGAGGACTGAGTGGCACTGATGGTATGGCTGAGACCCAGCAAGGAAGCCTATAGCCTGATTGGAAAGAATCACTTGGCATCTGAAGCCTGCTTGGGCATCTGGGAGACTTCCTGGCCCTGTTTTACTATTGCCTTCCTTCTCTGGAAGACATAGGAAGTTGTAAGCACTCACGCACCCTATGTTGGCTGATCTGTTGCACCAGGAAGGCTTATTATTATTTTATTTTTTCCCTGCTGATGACTTTTAAAGTGAAAATATACACACAAACCAAATCCCTTTTAGTCCTCTCTAATAACAGCCTGCTTTTCTCCATTAGTGAATGTTTCTCACAAAGCTTAAGGTCTCTATTTTTATTACCTATCTCCTAAATCATTTGTAACTGTCTACATCCATGTACAGGTACCATAATGGCTACCTTACCACCTTCATCATTTTACATACCTCATCTGTGAGACTGAGCAGTGTGGATGTATACAGACCTTATTTATCCTTTGTTAGTGTCACATGAATGTGGTGAAGGTTCATTTTACTGGGATTTGTTTTCACTGCTTTGAGGAATATGAAATGAGGCTGAAGTGGAGGAGAAAAGAGAAAAAGACCAATGGGCCAACCCTACTAAATGTTCCTATATAATCTAGATTCTGAGGTAGAAGAGACCTTATAAGTAATGAGGTCACCTTTCCCCTCTTTTCTCTATCCTATGCTGGTAGATAAGACCAGGAGATCCCTGGCTTTAACCTATTACTGCTGGTTCTGCTGTGTTTTAAGTCTGACAGGCAAGAAAATCTCCAGAAACAGGCAGAATATCCTGTGAATAGTTAGTATATGTTACAAATTTTTATGTAAATTTGCCTTTGTAGCAGACTGATATGTATAATAATGTTTTAGGTAATTGATAAGTACAGATGTTTGAGAACATTGGGGGAGGGAAATGAGAAGGTACTAGGAGGATGAAGAAGACTGACTTAAGTTACATACTTGTACATGAAGATAGTATAATAAAACCCATCAAATACTCCTTGAAAAGGAGGGAGGAGAGAGAGGGTTAAGAGAACACAATAGAGGGAGTGAAAGTGTTTAAGAAGTATACTGCACACACCTGTGGAATTCTCCTAATGAAACCCCTGTGTTATTATGTGTTTGTTAATAAAATGAAAAGAAAATATGTCATGAAGCATGTGTGTTATTAAGGTCTCGTCTTCATATCACTTTAGTTACTTCCTCCTTCTGTTGGGTTCTAGTGAGGCTGCTTCCTTCCTTGTTGCCTGTGTGTCCCTGAACTCAAATCTTATAGTGCTCAGCTTGTTCAAGAAAATGAAGAGAAAGAAAGAAAACTTTAAATGTCCCAACACTGGGTATTACTCTGATCAGATGTGGTTAAGGGATATCATTAGATAATATTTAATCTTTACCCACACACACCTTGGTACCTGTGTCTTGAAAGACTTAGAAGACCTGAGAAAGTTTCTAATATTTCCTTCTATATGTAAAGCTCCTCTAATTTTGTTGTTGTCACAGAGAATGAGGTGTCACCAACCATCATTCTAATATAAAACTGTGGGGAAAGGGCACTGAGTGCAGAGTCCTTATGTCCACTGTTGACTTCAGCTCCCAGTTTTTCCTCTCTCAGAGCCTCCTGAGAAGGCAGTTTTCATTCTTAGCTTCATTGTTTCTATTCATTAGGTGGCTCAGCCTCACAGGTACTCACTTTGTTCCAGTCTAACAGGAAGTCTGTCAGGGCACAGGGCTCCATCCTACTGTGTTAAACATTGAAGATTACATGAGTCTGTGAGAAAAGTTTGCAGATTGGATCTAGGATTCCCCAGGATATTAAGATAAGTTCGAATTTGCTAGATGGTAACTACACAGAAATAATGAAAACAAAAAATTTATACTGTTTTGGAGATTTTATTTGCTCCACCAATAGTAGTGGGTTCACTCAAGTCAATATACTTAGGCAAAATTTTCTTTTCAAATAATGTCAATTGGTAGTATTTAAAAAGTGTATCTAAAAAGGAGTTTGTGCCCATATATATATAAATATATATATATATAAATATATATATGTAGATATATGTAGATATATAGAGATATAGAATGAGTATATATATAAATATATAGATACATAAACTCATTCTGTTAGATATATATTTATATATCTATATATTATCTATTATCTATCTCTCTCTCCATATATATTTTTATATCTAACAGAATATATATATATATATAAAACAGAATGAGTTTGGCTGTTGTTTTAGTCAAAGCAGTTATCATCATTAAACACTTTTGTGTCCAATACAAGGGTAATGTTCATCTAGTCCAGAAAAACATATACTCGCCTTATATCTCTGGAAAAGAACTCCAGCATCTAGCTCATTTTTTCTAGGACAGGCTATGCCTAAATTAATAATTTCAAATCACTGCACAGGTATGAATTACAAGGTATATTTGTTTCAGCAGCCTTGTTCCAGCAGGCTATACATGAGAAAATGATAGTATCAAAATGTCTCCCCTGGAGACATCTTCTTGCCTGGCAAGCCCTTTTCTCCAGGAGATCTGGGCCTGGTTATCCTCTCTACTTGAAAGCATCTTTCAGTTCCTCATGTGTATCTTCGGGTTCTGTGAAGGATGACAATTTCTTCCCTCTGTCATTCTTTTGCTTCTTCCTCATACTTTGAGGTGTTCCAGGAATCAGGCTAAGACTTTAACAATGATAACCTCCATCTAACTGATATTCTACCAGACCAGAGAAAAATGTTTGGAGCTGGGAATAGTAGGAAGCATGAGAAGAAATATGTGCGAATACACTAGCAGTTCCCTTGAATGGAAAATTTGCTTCTGTCTTCTGGAAGAGTCTTGAGAGGACCCTGAATCTGAGATCTGCTAGAATCTCAGTGAATGGAAGCGCTGGTGAGTCCACGTGTCAGAAGAGACCAGGTATATGGGACCAGGGCGGGAGGAGACTTCATAATTGCTGATGTGGGCCGATGCCTATTAGAGTGATTGGCATTCCAAAGTGGGTTTGAACAGCTCAGAATTGATAGCCAAACCTCTCAAGCTCACTCATATCTATGCATGTACACATATACTAACATTATAGTAGCTGTACCTAACTTAGTCCCAATTCAACTCAAAAGTAGAGGGATTCAAAGTGTAATGAACGCAAGTTTCTATTTTCCTAGTAGAATAAAAGCTTAAAGTAAAAAAACCACATATATTGTTAAATAGAAAATACCAATTCTACTTTTTGAAATTTTGAGCTGTCATGTTTTTTCTTTGAGAATTTTCTGAAAGATTCAACTTATAAGTAGGAAAGACTTTCTTAGGCTCATGACTTATTCTATAAATAAGACATTTGTGACTGTGATGAGATAGTACATTATGGAGGAGCAAATGGTGGAAGAGCTATTCATCTTATAGTAGGAAGCAGAGAGAGAGGGAGAGAGAGAGAAAGAGAGAGAGAGGGAGGGAGAGGGAGAGGGAGGGAGGAGTGGGGATGGAGGAGGGGCTAGGAGGGGCTGAGGTCTAATGTCCCTTACAGACCATGGCTCAATACCTAACTTCCTTCCATTAGGCTCCACTTTCTAAAGGTTCCACTATCTCATCCACAGGTTGGGAACAAAGCTTTCAATATATGGGCCTTTGGAGGATATTTACCCACTCACAGAAATTAT